CTATCTCTCTATCCCTCTCCCTTTCTCTCTCTAAAATAAATAAAAATATACACTTTTAAAAAGTATTGTTGGTTCTGTTTATTTATTTTAATTTTTAAAAAATATTTATTGCTGAAAGTATTACATATGTCCCCTTTTTTCTCCCATTGACCCCTCATAGCCCACCCCCGGTCCCTGCCCCAGGTCTCCACCACCCTATTGTCTGTCTGTCCATGGGTTATGTTGCTTCTGTTTAGAGATAATTCTATTAAAAATTTCCAGGGAAAACTTGACTATCCAGAAACCTCTGGAAATTAAATATTCTAAAAAGCTAAGTAATATAGGAAAGTAGGATGTTCTTTTTAGCTATATTTTTTGTTTTGTTTTAACCATGTTAAATAGAAATCTTGATAAATACACATGCTCCTATTTCTTAGAAAAAAATTCACAGAACATATCTACTTTTTCTCACATGCTAAAGAATCCTATATAATAAAGAGGTAATATGCAAATGGTCGTTATGCCATGACGTGTAACCACCAACAGCAGGAGGGCAGGGCAGCGAGCTACAAGCAGTGGAGAGAGCTACAGGAGGGCGGGGCAGCGAGCTATGAGCGGCAGAGAGCTACGAGCAGCGGTGGGCCAGGCGGCCAGCTGAGGCAAGCGGCAGCGAGCTACTTGCGCACGATTCGTGCACAGGGCCACTAGTGTTATTATAAACATCAGATACAGCACTATTCTCAGGACCCATCAGTGTTTAATAACAAGACAGATCTTTTTTTTTTAGTTTGAATTTTCCTACCTTTTCCCCTTTTACCAGACTTTCAGGCAATTATTTCTTACTGCTTATAGTGTATGTACTTATTGCAATCCTATCTCCGTATTTCAACTTTTGGCCTCTAATCTATGGGATGTTAAGATATTGAAAGCAATATTCAAAATCATAATTACCCAAAAGTCTTTCTAAGGGTGGATGATTACACAAACTGTGGAATACTACTCAGCAATAAAAAGGGAGAGATTCCTAATACATACAGCAACATGGCTGAATCTTAAATTTATTATACTACTAAGTGCTATATGGTGTGAATAGATTTGTGTGACATTTGGGAAAAGGCAAACCTGTAAGGATAGGAAACAGTCAAGTGGTTGCTGAGGATTGAGGGTGAGGGGAGGGATTGACAATCAAGGTACATAAGGAAAGTTTTTGAAATAATGCAAATATTCTGAATCTTTATTGTGATGGTGCTTACAAGGCTGTATGTGTCTGTTGAACAGTGGATTGTGTTTTAGCTCAATTACAGCACCACTTCAAAAAAGAGAAATTTAGGAGATATACCAACCAATGGCAAAGTATAGATCTGATTTGTTTCTAATGTTTAAAAAGATGTAAACATTTTTTATAAGACAATTGGGAGCATTTGAGCACTGACCTGATGTTTCCTGATAATACTGAATTATTATTTTTAAGGTGTGATGACACTGTGCATGCATTTACAGAAGTAGTCCCTATCTTTCCATACTGCATAAGGAAATTATACAATGCCTGGACTTGGCTTCTAAATAACCCAGGTGAGCAGAGGCGGGTACTGATGAAACAAGATTGTCCGCGATGTTATAATTATTGAAACTGGTGATGGGTAAAAAGGGTTTAGTATGTTAGTTTCTCTACTTTTCAATTTGCTTGAAATTTACTGTAATAAAACATTTACTTTTTATTTTTTTATCATGAATTTATTTTTATTTATGCCAATTAATCCAATAATTAGCAATTCTTAAAAATACAGGTATCCATTGTATATTGCTTAACATAAATAAACACACTAATTTCAACAAATTTAAATTGTATTACTTTTCATGATTAAATATATCTACTAAATATTGAGTGACAATTCAATCCCCCATTTTTATAAAACCCACTATGATCTTTCTACCCGAGTTCTGAGTAGTGAGGAGACTGCTTCCATGAGGAGACATAAAAAGCATGCACTGACTTCTTTGCATAGATGGAACTTGAAGTTCTGTGGGGGGTGTGTGTGTGTGTGTGTGTGTGTGAGATCCGAACATCTAAAATGAGATCTACCTCGTAACGAAAGTTTAAGTGCACACTACAGTAGTGTTAACTATAGGCACAGTGTTGCACGGCAGATCTCTACAGCTTATTCATCTTGTATAACTAAAACTCATACCCATTGTCCATCAGCTCCCCATTGCCCACTCTCCCAGCCCTAGCAACCACCTGAGTATATATCCAAAAGAATTGAAATCAGGATCTTGAAGAGATATCTAAATGCCCACGTTCATTACAGCATCATTCATAATAGCATGATATGGAAACAACCTAAATGTCCACTGATAGATGAATGGATAAAGAAAATGTGGTAGATGAATAGGACAAAATATTTTTCATCCTTAACAAAGAGGAAAACCCTGCCATTTGCAACAATATGGATGAATCTGGAGGCCATTATGCCAAGTAAAATAAGACAGTTGCAATACAAATGCTGCATGATTCCATTTATATGAGGTATCTAAGATAAATGAAAACATTTTTAATTGTACAAATAACCTTTTAAAAATAGAAATCCCTCATTGTATGGAATGTTTTTTAAATGCAAAAAAAATATCTTTGTTAGAGAAGCCAAGACAAATATGGAAACTCGGCATGAGTTACTTTTTAAATTCCCAGATGGTTTTGAGCACACCCGCTGACATCTTAATTGGAAATCCATCATGTCTGGCATCAGTCCGTACTTCCAGACACTTGATCCACCACTAAGCTGATTTTAGCTTGATATTAGGGTATGTAGCCCTGAGCTTCTGAGCCATTATTAACACAGAAATACCACACAGTCTTACATTAACCTAAAAAATGTGAGGTGTCCAATACAAGCCATAGAACTCTGTAAATTTCTGCCATGTGTTGTTGCTATCTGTATTTAAAAATGGTCATTGCCTTTTGCTTTTATAGCTTTCTCTTCTATTCTGTATGGCCATACCTATTGCATGAGTTTTATTTCATGTACCCTTGCTTCAAATCTTGAAAATTCAAATGTACAATAAATAATTTAAATGTAAAAAAAGAAAATTCAAATGTATTCATAGGGGAAGATAGTAGACATTTTTATAGGATCTTATTACAGGGTACTTAATAATTTTATCCTACAAGGTCCTATTATAATGGAGTCACTTTTATCAACTAAAACATAATTTTCCCAGTGTATCTAGTCCTGCAGCTTTCAGTATGTCTCTGTTCTTCATTCCCAAGAGAGTCAGGGAAGACCAAAGGCTGAGCGAGGAAGCCAGGGCCACAGGCTCAGGGTCACGACCAAACCAGTGGACCCTGGCCAACCTGGCCCAGGCCGGAGCGGAGTCAGCCAGCAGCAGCCATGCCAGAAAGCTGGCATGGGAGCATGGGTCATGCAGCCAGAGGCGATCAGGTTGGGGGAGGTCAAGGCAGAGTGCAGCTTCTCCAAGTTCACAGGACGGAAGGCTAGGCCCTGGCCCTGCCTTTCCCGTGACCAGGCATTCTAAACGGGGTTGTATTTCAGGGGCTGACTCCAGTGGCATTGCTTTTCCTTCCCCGCCTCCAGTGCTTCTGAATTACAGTAAATTCCTTAGTTTCTGTCCCTTCAGCAGCTCCTTCTGAGTCTAAAGTTGATATTAATATTAAGGAAATATTTAACTGATATTAATTGGAGCAAATTGCAGAAACGTGATCAGTGAACGATTTGAATTGACTTCTGTGAAGGATGTGGGATTTTTCCAAGCTTAAATGTCTTCTTTCTAAACATGATAACAAAGATTTTTTTTCTTTTATTGAAAAATAATACATTATGTTTCTTTCTTGTGTGGTTTATGGCATGCTTTGTTATTTAAATGGATTTGTGAATGAAATAGGACACATAAAGTCATTGTAGATGCCCACCAACGCTGTAGATGCCTTTTCTGTCCCACTGAACCCCCCTGTCCTTGACCCACAAATCCCTGATGCCTGTGGGGTGAGTTCGGTATCTAGTTTTAATCTTTTCATCACCAAAATCCTCTTTAATCCTCTTTCTTCTTCTCTCCATACACACAGAGACTCCACGTTTTAAACAATTTCATTGTCACTGTGAAAAGGTATAATTTCACTTACAAGCAAGAAAACTTGACCTTTTGTTAGCCTGTATATGATGTGTAGCGATGATACAGATATAGGGTGGGCTGGGCCACCACATCTGGAATTTCTCCTTGTGAGCTGCACAAGTCCAGAAAGAAAACATCCTAAACACTCTGAAAAAGGAGGTATTGATTCCCTATGGTACGTCGTTCTTTTTAGTGCAAGATGCTGCATCACTGTGGTACAGGTGCCACTTTGTAGGTTTGCTGAGTCCTGGGTGCTCTGACTACAATAATTAACACCGTGTCCTCGGGCATTTAGAGTCGGCCTTTAGTGTTTTCATTTATAAAATCGTGGGTTAATCACTTCTTAGATGTTGGGGTCCAGCCCCAACAGGTCCAGGGGTCCCCAAAGGTGTGGACGGAGTTGGCGAAGAAGGAATGGCACGGAGACAGCGTTCAGTTGATCAGCAGCCTAGCCAGGATCTCTAGCCAAGTTCTGTCTAGGATCTCCAGCCAAGTTCTGGCTAGGATCTCCAGCAAAGTTCTGGTTTGGAACTCCAGCGAAGTTCTGGTCTGGATCTCCAGCAAAGTTCTGGCTAGGATCTCCAACACTTAGGTACAATTGATTTGCTCACCTTGTTCCTGAAACAGGGCAACTACAGAATCAAAAGATCCCAACTCTACCTCCACTTCAGTGCTGTGACACCTGGAGGCAGGGCTCGCTTAAACGCTCTTTCTCCCTCTTTCCCCAAATGCTAAGTAGGGGTAACTCACAGGACGCATAGTGACATTATAGTAACTGGTTATAAAAATGAATTAAAATAATTTAAAATGTAGTATATAATGTGAGGGGCTCTTCACCTAAAGTAGCTAATCAAAATAACTGCACTTAGAAAGATAAATGCAATACCTGACATTTCTGGGGAAAGAACTTGCCTCTGTTAGTGAAAATAGCAAAACCAAGCAATGGTGTCCAGAATTTCAGTAGCGGAGGGTCAAAGTAAGAATATTTTTCCTGAGCTGGAGTGTGAGCCAGTCCCATCTCTTTGGCTCAGGGCAGCTGCTCTTACTTCAGCAAAGTTTGGCCAAGGCTGGAAGTTATTTTGGATATTCCCAGGTTTGCTTATGCCCCAGGGGTCCATAGGGAATAAAGAGGATTTTCTTGACCAGATCCTCTCAGTCAATTCTATTACCATCCACCTACTCCCTATCCCTGATCCTGAGATCCATATCTTTTTCACACATCTTAGGTTGCTTCAATGTGGCTTTTTATATTACGCCATGCAACCATTAGATCAGGTGCATTGATGTTGACATACTTCACATTAAGACCAGTCCTGAAAAGTGCTATTTGCCTTCTGTCTCTTTCTGAAGCCTGCTTTCCTCTATTTCACAAATGTTTATGTTCTATAACAAATATTAAAAGCATGTAACCAAATGTGAAAGCAACTGAAAGTTATTTAAGTGCTGAGGCATCAGGCAGTTCTATTTCTCCAAGGAACATTATTGTAACCTCATTAAGGAAGGGAAGAGATGCAAGTATATGTTGCTTATAATATTTCTCTACATAAGATGTACTGAGGAGAGGGCTAGCAGAATCAGGGTGTGGCCAGCTTGTTCAACTTGAGGCAGACGTGGGGACAGATGCACACAAAGAAGGTGACGCAAGGCAGTTGGGTTGCGGTGACAGGCTTTAACGAATGACCTATGTAGGGTTGCTTCAGATGGTTCCATTTCAGGTTGGAAATAAAATTAAGCATCCCGTAAATGAACTGCAAGTCAATTTAGGGTTAATTTAGTTTTTGTATGAGTATATTTGTTTTCAGTCTCTTGTTAATTAAATCACAGTGTGTGGGAGTCAGGTCCTATACTCAGGCCATGGCTCAGAAATTGGTTTTACTGTCTTTTCTACTAATAAAATATGGATGACATGAAATGTCATAATGCCTTGGGGAACATAAAATGCTAGTGAAGACTTCTGTGAAAAGGATATCAAGGGCAATTAACTTTGGTTCTTCCTTTGTGTCCAGAAACTCAATAAAATTTCTACATTATAATAGGACCTGGGAATATCAAGGCAAATTGAAGATGATGATGTCAGAATTGTATCTTATGCAGATCTGATTATACTTAATGTGCAATTCATATGAAAACAAAGAAACAGATACAGACTTAGGATTGTTGGGTAGATTTAGCTTCCCTCTATAGACTACAGATGGAAAAAATAGAAGGTAAACTTTCAGATCTAAATTTGGAGGCCTCCACCTCCCCTTTCACCATCCTGAGGGCCTGAGTACCTCTCATTCCCATGCTTCAGATCTTCTTCTGCTACCATCATCCTTCTAAATAAAGTACCTATTTGAGGGTTATATGCCTTTTAATAGGTGGTTCTAGAAGATCTCACAACCATCAAAGGCTCACATTCATAGTTCTGTTTTCCACTCAGAGGACTGCTCTTTCACATAGCTGCATTGACTTCAAACCTCCCAACCTTGAGAGAAAGAAGACACGTACCTCTCCCAGAGTTTTGTTTTCCTCAAGGGAGAGTCAGTCGAGAGAGAAACCATGGGGCCATTTGCCAGACCCTAGCTTTGCTTTGTGAGCTGATAGAAATGGAGAACATTCTCATCCCTTAATCCTTGGATTCCTGGAGGAGAGAATTAGAAAGGCCCACTCTTGCTTTCTAGGTCTTACTGTTCTCTCATCCATCCTCAGAAAGACATCTAATTCTCCTTTTGTTTGGGAAACTCCCCAAAGGCTGCATTTTTTACTAGTACTACCAAGATTTCTGTGACAGAGGCTTTCCCACTACAATGACTTGACCTACTTTGAGGGATCATTAATATCAACTCATAATTATTGCTTTGCTTACACATATTTTTTTTCCCTAGCCCCATCTTCCACATTTTGAACACATCCTGAGTTGTTTGTATAACTGAATATAAGTGAAAGTAATGCTGGTTAGCTTACTTATTCAGGAAATATTTTGTCTTAGCATCATGACAAGTTAACTTAGCTTATTATCTCAGATATTTCACTGGAGTGGAAAATAATCTGTTGACCCTGAGGATCAGTTTGCCCCTGCTCCCAGAAATGTATAAGGTCAGTCAAAGGAAAGGTCTGTGAAAACTCCGCTGCCATCTCAAAGTATGAAGTAATGGCAATCCATAGCAGACTGTCTCTAGGCCATTTAAGGTAACCAGATTGATACTATGAGGCTTAATGAAAAGATTCAGCTACAAATCTTCTTCTTTTTTTAAAGTCCTCATCTGAGGATGTTTTTCCATTGAGTTTTAGAAAAATATCAATGTAAGAGAAACACATTGGTTGGTTGTCTCCTGCACATGCCCTGACCAGGGCCTGGGGCGGGGAGGAGACTGCAACCAAGGTATGTGCCCTTGACTGGGATTGAACCCAAGACCCTTCAGTCCTCAGGCCGACACTCTATCCACTGAGCCAAACTGGCTAGGTATCAGCTACAAATATTATTGGTAAGACTCATCACCCTGCAGAGCCTCATCTCACAGACTGGCTCAGTTGTTTCTGGGTTTTCCCAGGGAGGTTTGTCACATGTGCTCAAGAATAAATCCACTAATATTCTTCTCTAGTTTCTACTTCATTGCCCACTTCCTCTAGAGAAAGGCTGAGCCTCTGCCCTTCATGAGGACATGGCACCCATGGCTTCCATATGTATCCCTGTAGCTCTGTCAGGCTCCACAGCTAAGTTGCCCAATGATAGTACACAAGTGGGAATGAATTTCCCTCTGCCCAACACAATCTCACAATTTGTCCCTTGAGCCTGAAGCAACACTGAAATAGCTCTCTGAGCTTCTGCCTATTACACCTTTCTCGCTAAGATGCCTGACTTCACTTCTGGGATCTGACTGAGGAAAAGTTGCCAACACTAATGAGTTGTCTATGTGCCAGGCACTGTACGAAGCACTTTACATGAATTATCTCATTTAAGTCTCACAATAGGCTACGTTGGTGGTGGTGATGGGACGCGGGTGGGGTGGGGCAGTACTATTATCTTTTCCATTTTAGAAATGAGAAAAGTAAGTTGTGGCATATTCATTATCTATTGTTATACAACAAATGACCACAAACTTAGAGGCTTAAAACAACAAACACTTATTATGTCACATTTTCTTTTCTTTTTTAAAATATATTTTTGATTTCAGAGAGGAAGGGAGAGGGAGAAAGAAATAGAAACATCAATGATGAGAGAGAATCATTGATCGGCTGCCTCCTGCAGGCCCCCTACTGGGGATTGAGGCTGTTACCTGGGCATAGGCCCTGATGCGGAATCAAACCGTGACCTCCTGGTTCATAAGTCAATGCTCAACCACTGAGCCACACCGATCGAGCTTATGTCATATTTTCTATGAAGCATGACTTAGTGGGCCTCTGCTTCAAGGCCTCCCATGAGTTTGCAATCAATGTGTTGTTTAGGGGTCAGGTCTCATCTGAAGGCCCAAGTGGAAAAGGATCTGCTTCCAATCTCACAAACATGATTGTTGACTAGATTCAGTTCCTTTGGGACATTGAATTGAGGGCCTCAATTCCAAGCTGGCTATCATCCAGTGGACACCCTCAGCTCCTGTCACATGGGCCTCCCCAACATGACAACTTGTTTCATCAAGCCTACAAGGGGAGGTCTGCCAGCAAGACAAAAGTCAGTCTTTTGTAACCTAATTATGGAAGTGACAGCCAAACACTTTGACATATTCTGTTGGATAGAAGCAAGTCACAGCTTCTGTCCACACTTAAGAATTACACAAAAGTGTGCATGTTAGGATACATAAGTCATTGGGGGCCATCTTAGAGTCTGTGTGCCACATCGAGAGGGTAAGTAACTTACTGTCTTATCCTGTTCCAGCAGCTATAACAACATAATGAAAAACAATTTTTCTTACAGTTCTGGAGGCTGGGAAGTCCAAGATCATGACACTTGTAGATTTAGTGTTTGGTAAGAGCCCACTTCACTATAACCTTACATGGCAGAAATGGCAAGGAATTTCTGTGGGGTCTCTTCTATAGGGGCACTAATCTCATTATTGAGGGCTCTACCCCCATAATCTTGACACTTCCTAAAGACCCCACCTCCCAATATCATCATATTGGGGATTAGGTCTCAACCTATGAATTTTGGAGAAATAAAAACATTTAATCTATAACACTTACCTAAGGATTATCAGCTAATAGGCAATTAAGCCAATATTTGAGCACAACAAAATATAGCTCCAGAGGAAAGTAAGACTCAAAAGCTTTTGGAAACCAGGCTACCCATAGAAACAAGAATATACTTCTGATTTATCACCTTTTGGATGTGTCACTAAAACAAGGGTTGCTGAAGATGCAGGCTTTTTTTTTATGTGTGTGGTTGTTAATTTTAATCCCTGCACGTTTTCAAAAAACTTGTGCATTATGTGGTTTTAACACAATTATTTAGATTTCCATGAGCTTTAAAAAAATAATCAGAAGATAAGATGACACTATTTCTTCCATGTTCCTGTGGCAACAGGTGTTGACTAGAGCTAAGTAACAACTTAATAAATAATGTGCTTGTCTGATCACAACTCACTTTTTGTCACTTGCACGGCCTTTAGCTGTAGGCATTTGACTTTGCTACCACTGCAATTGAACAGAGAGTACAGTAGTCCTGAGAACTGAATTGTGAGTTCATTTATGGGGAAAATTAAAAGTGGTTTCTCCCAGATATCTGACATATCAAAAATTTTTGAATAATGTTAAATTTACATAGAAATTGGATATTATCCCCAAAATGTGCTGTTAGTGTAGCAAAGTTACATATATATTTATAAACAATTGCTTATGAGGACATCTTTATTACCCCACTACCTGCTTATCTGAGCATACACATACTAGTTCTACCTAGTGGTAGTTACCTCAAATGTAAATACAACCCCTTAGAGACACTCAGCAACCCTTCTGGGAATAGAATTATTTATTTGTTCCTTTATTTTGGTCAATGAATATATATGTTGTTATTTCTAGGCACCATGTTAATCTAATTATAATAATTCAAGTTGTGAAACATTGAAATGCATACAATAGGTCATTTCAACAATATCTTATAGCAAGCTTGTGGTATAAGGAACAAAATCTGGGTCTTCTACTTTATCCAACATTCCAGGCTGCCTTGGTTAAAATTCCCTTCATTATTTATGTAAAACTACAAGGTTGATTTGGGGTTATGAACATTATCCTTGGCAGGCTGATTCTAAATTACCATATAAGTGTGTTAATTGTCATATTCTTCATACTTCAAATACACTTATATGGGAAATATAAATACTAGCACAGCCATTAGAGTCTAAACTCTGGCAATTAGGTGATTCAAACTGGCTCTTTCTCTCTTGTAATTCCTTAGTAGCATATTATAAAAGAGGAATGGTATTTCCCACCTCAGTCCCAGTTGGTAATTCTGATTGTCCCATGATTTCACAGCTGCGAATCAACCCCCACCCTCTCACACTTGTCTCTGGCTAATGATGCTTTCTTTAATTAGCACATGACTTAAACTTTCGTTCTGACTTATCTGTTGCTTTGGTCGCCGGGCTACCTGAGTGCAAGCTGGTCTAATTGGGAAAGAAAAAGTACTTGAACATTGATGCTACTTGTCCTGACATTGAACAAAAGGAAGAGCAATTTGTCTGGTTGCTGAATTTGCTTTCGTTATCAACCGAATTTGCATTCTCTGACAACTTCTCTCCCTTACAATCTGTCTAGGCTTTGTGCTTCTATTTGTGGGGTTTTTCCCTTTGGTTCTTATGTCTTCCCCGACTTGAGAGTGGCTTCTAGAAAAAGCTACGAGGAGCTATGCTTTGTCAAAGCCTGTGTGAGACGGCCTGCAGAGGGGGATTTGAGGAGATACAAGACCTTGCTCTTTAAGGTCAAACCATTACTGACCTTTCCTCCTTTTTTACTCTAAACTCCCAGGTTCCCTGTCACCCTCTGGATGGTTAAGCCACACAGACGATAGCTTTGCTCTAGAAGTCTATGTCAAATACATGTATATTAGAGAGGAGAGCCTACTTGAGGAACCTCATGATCTCTGACATGCTCTCTTCTTGCCCCTGATAAATTTCCCTGAAAAGTCACCAAGGAAAGGTTCTCTGAGGAGTTAGAATATGAAACAGGAAATGAAAATGGGGATAGGATGAAATGGGAGAAATACACATTTTGTTTTTGAAATGACCAATATTCATTATCTCTAATATTCATGGTGGTAGATACTGTGGGGAGATATAAATGCAGTGAAAAACAGGCTTCCATGGGTTTGGAGATGATCTGTAAGCTGACCTACAGATAGCAGTGAAAGAGGTGAAGCAGGTAATAGTCTCATGATGTGCATGTCAAAGTGTTGAACATAGATAAGAAATGCTATACAGTCCCTCAGAGAGATAATGAGATTAGAGCTGTAGAATGAAGAAGGAGGAAGGTCAGGCACAATCATTATGTGAGCACCAGGCAACTTGGAACTGGACTGTACAGTGTTCGCTGGAGAAATGAAGGAAACTAATCAGGCTAGAATGAAAGCTTGACTTTGAGCAATTGAAGACAGGAGTTAAGACTTCACCCTGTGGGCATGAGATAGCCATCACAGATATCGGAATAGAGAAATGGATGTCTTAGGAAGAACTATGTTGGTGGTGAGTTTGAAGCAGGAAACACTGGAGGAGGAAAGACTGGTTAGGCAATGGCAGAAATTCAGATTTGTCTAGGATGGTAACTAGGAATAAATGTGAAAGAGGAAGAAAGGATTTTATTTTTCCTGAACATGGGAAATTATTGAGATGGAATGAGCAAAGAAGACTGTGAGGTGTACAGCCTGACTCAACGTGAGGGGGGTGGGTGGGGACCTAGTGTCAGATGACTTAGTAAAGGGGAAAGCCCCAGATTTCAGTAAGCACAATCATGGAATCAAGAGATTTTTAAAGCTGGAAAGGGCTTTAGAGATCATCTACTGTAGCCTTTTCATCTTATCGGAGGGCAAATGAGGCCAAGGGAAGTATGTAACTCAATCCAGGGCAGTGGTGACTCAGTCCAGGACAGTGAGCAGACTATGGCAAGAGTTTAGCTGCACCCACGTCT